ACAAGCGTGTCCAGTTTTTTAGCGGGGTCTACCTGGCAACTTTAGCACCCATGCAGACGCACACATACACACACATTTTACCTTCCATTTCATGTCAATCCACAATATCAAACCAAAACAGACAGAAGTTTGAAACTGTCTGGAAATGGGGGATTTTACTTGTTTCTCTTGGAAAGCCTTAAACCAGCTCAGGCTTGCTTGAAAGTTCTATGAATCTTCCAGTGTACCTGGGGGTTCTTTCATAACAACAACAATATGCTTGGCAAGGTGGGTCCATAGCACTGAATGCCCATGGCCACATTGTATGGCCTTATTTCAGGTGTTTAATTTGGCTGTATCAAATCAGTAACAACTTTGTTTTAAATCAGGGATGAGCACAAGGCTGCCATTTGTCCATGGCTGGGCAACGTCTCCCCCGACCTTAAGTCCAATCTTCAGGGCTCAATGTGCAGGGACTTTATCCCTGAGGCAGGCACAGGCTATATGACCAAAAAGTTCCAGCTAGCAGTGAGCAATGAAGACTTCATCCTCTTGAGGCTAGTTCTCAGTAATACATCCCTATTACTGATAAAAATCACATACGCCCAGTTGCTGTTCACAATGCATATGAAATGCCTCAAGTCTCCTGCTGTCTTATTTAAGCAACTGGACTAGAGTGTGATGGTAGCTGTGAGCCTGGCTCAAAGCACATTTAGCTCAACCAAAACAGATTCAACAGACAAGGGAGCAGCAAGCTCAGGGCTCTTACAGAACATGGGTAAGCATAGGTCCCAGGATAGCCTCAAACACACACCTGCCAGTCCAAGCCCACAACCAACCCTCTGGGCTACAGAAGAAGCTAGAAGCAATGCCTGGCCTGACCAACTTTTAATTAAACAGCTTCCACAGGCAAGAAATCCTTAGTCTTTTACCTCTTAAGTGACTGGCCTAATACCTAGGTGCTATTCTGACCTGGGGCTTCCCTAGGGATGAGTCTACACAGCACTCTAAACTCGAAATAAGATACACAATTTGCACAAGCAAATTGCATATCTTATGTTCAATCTATTTCAAAATAGCTTATTTTGAAGTTTGGAGCATCCACATAGTGCCAAATTTCAAAATAACATGCTATTTTGAACCATCCCTTATCCCTCGTGCAACAAGGTTTACTGGGATGGCAAAATAGCATGCCTGTTATTTCGAAAAATATTTCAAAATAATGGACGCCTTGTGTAGACACAGGTGATACCCTGCAGTGTAGACTTACTCTTGCTCTTTTCTGCTGAAGCTGCCCCACTTTCAGTACATATTTGTTGGGCCAAAGCCCTAACAAACAGCCCTGTGTAACTTACTGATTGGGTGTGTGCTCAGCAGGTTGGGAGAACATTTGTGTACCAGGATCTTGTACTGTAAGCAATCTAAGGAAAAGTTAGACATTTCCTTCCATCGACTACAATTTAATGAACTCGCTTGAGGAGAAATAGGTGGATTATAATAGAAACCCTATGTGTGCCTGCTTCAAGTTACATTTTACTTCTGCTGCCAAAGTCATTGTTGATACCAAAGTTTCTGTCATGAAAGTGCTAGTGGAAAAAGTTAATAGTAACACAGGAACTAGGAATAGGAAAGATCAATTATTATGGGGTCATCTGGTCCACCCTACTGCCAATACAAAATTGTTCTGCAGTGCTTTAAATAAGAGTGGGCAAACTTACTCAAGAGATGGGACAGTGCCCAGGAGAGGCTAGTGTTCAATATAACCAAGCTCATGCTCAGGAAATTGTTCCTCATATTCTGCTCACATTTTCCCCTTAATTGTATCCTATTGCCCTCAGTTACACCATCTGACCTCCCCTCCCTTGAACAATCTGAGGTGCTACTATCTGATGAAAAACACCTCAATCCCAGTGTTCAAATAGTGCCATGCACGAAGCTGCATGTGACACAAACTCAGATGAAAAACAGAAAACTGAAAATCTCAGCCTAGACTTGTTTTGCTCATCATTCCTCTCTTTTGCCGTCAGGCTGCTGTAGCATGCTGGTTGATGCCGCACCTTCACTATTTTCATCTTGTGAATTCTGAAGCATCTCATCACATGCAGAGCATTTGGGGCTCAATCTTGCAAGATGATTGCACAGCACCTAAGCATGTGTTTCATTTGAAGCACATGAGTAGTGTCATTGTTTTTAGTGGGATTAATCACATGCTTGACATGAAGTATGTTTAAGATTTGCTGGGGTGGGGCAGGAGTATTCAGCACTTTGTAGCATTGATTTCTTGATGCTCAAGAAAATGATGATTGTCTATTGCTATTGAAGTCCAGAGGGTGCATCTACACCAGGGATGGGCAAAAGGGCCTCCCTGGGCCGGATCCGGCTCACGGGGGCCCTGCTGCTCCCACACCCCCAGGCCAATCAGGAAGCCTACTCCTGCCTTTCCAGGAGAAGCACTGCTCGCAGGGCAGGGGCAGAACGGAGAAGGCTTCACGCGTTCCTCTGCCCCGGGCCCTAATTGGTCTAGGGACCGGGGAGTACGTGAAGCCTCCTCCCGCCCTGCCAGGAGCATGTGGTGCTTTGAAGCATTGCATGCTGATTTGGCCTAGGGGCAGGGGAGCGGGCAAGTCTCCTCCCATGCCAGGGGCATGGGCACCTAAGAGAACAGGAGGGGGGGGCCAAGGCACTCCCTCACCCCAGACCAATCATTATCTTCTGCTTGATACCCCACGCCCCTTCCGCTTGATGCCCCACCCCTTCCTGGGTGGCCTGGGGCCTCTTCAAAAATTTCCAAAGTGGCCCCCAGCAAAAAATTATTGCCCACCCGTGATGTACACTGTGCACTGAGCTCAGATTCTGGTTGAGGTTTGAGCCCAAGCCCCACTTCTGTGCGCCCACAAATTAGTCTGATTTGGATCAGCAAGCACTGAAATCCTGAGTGCTAAGGCCCTGCTAGTTGGGAGGGTCAGAGCCTGAGTCCCATGGTGACTTGGGCCCAAACCTGTCATTTAGCAGTGTGGATTCAGATTGAACCACAGATTTGAGTCCAAAGCTCTTTGTAGTGCAGCATGGACGTGTTAGCACAGCTGAGACCCAGGTTACTATGAACTATAAACTCAGGCTTGGAAACCAGAAGTCTACAAACCTAGGTCCCACCTCCCTGGGTGACAGTGCAATGTAGACATAGACATATTATGCTAAATTGGGCAAAACACAGGGAACAATCCTGCACTGGTGGATAGATGTGCTAATAAAATGAATCCTCGAAATTACAGATGGGCACATCTTATCTCGGGTCTTATCTAAAACATTTTATGTTATGGTCCCTTTGCTTGTCCTTATGCAGCCTTTAAACTGTTATTATTTATTTATTGATCCTATGTATAAATTGTGCCCAACTGAATTTTTTTCAAAACACATTTGTGATTAAAAATATTCCATGCGACATGTCAGCAGAGCCAATAGTAATTTTGCAATACGGTACCTTTCCTCAACCAAAATAACCCACTGCACACCCTTGCATACAGGTTCTCTGCATGCTTCTTTTTTTCTTTCTTATACACATTCACAATGCTGCAAAATGTAGTAGCAGTTGAGCAAACAACACTTAAATCTAGCCAAATTTTAAAGTTGCAGGATCTATCCTTGCTACTTAATGTTGCTCTACATATTTTTTCTATATCCTCACAGCCCTGCTGCTACAAGTGGTGTAAATGTAATAGATGTATGCAAGGGAGGTTTTTTGATTCCTTGCCTTGAGCAAAAATTAGTTAATGATATTCATTCAGATACAGTATGGTACAAATGGGGCACATTAAATGGCTTAAATTAGGTCAAATTGAATAATTGAATTTATTCTTTTACTTAAAAACAACTTAATCAGCTGAGAGTGCTGGAGTCTAAAAAATAGGTTAATTAAATATTAATCGGAAGTTTCCGTTGTAAGCTTCTTTATCGTTACTTGCTGCTGTTTTATTTATATTTCTGTGTTTGTCCCTGTTGCAGCCATGTGGGGACGAGGTTCAGCTATTCTCCCTTGATAAAGAATTTGACTATGATAGCGTGGCATTGACCCCCAAGTTCTCTGAGGCTGAGATGAAGGCCATTATGAACTCGTCTGAACAGAAGAAAGTATGGATCGGCCTCAAGTCAACAGGATCTGAAGAGGGAAGCTGACGTACCTTGTGGGGCATTCGCTGTTAATCAGCTGGGAAAATATTTTTAAGGGGAAGAATCCAGCTCCTATTCTGCAATTGTAGCTCCCTCTTTTGCAATGGGGCCAGTTTGGGCCTCTCATAGAACCTATGGGATGTTCAGATATTCCTACCCTGTGCAGCACTGGGCTGCAATGCTCACTGCATAGCATTCATATTACTATAGTGTCTAGGAGTCCTAGTCATAGAGCAGGACCCCACTGTGGTAGGTGCTGTTCAAACCCAACAAAAGAGTGCCCCCTGCTCCAGTGAACTCACAGTCTAAGCATGGTAGCTCCAGCCTGTGAGGGTAGATTCCTCTCTCTCTGCCCCTTTTCCATATCCCTAGAGCAGGGGCCAGATGTGGTCATGAGGTATGGCTGCTTGCAGCTCCAGTTGACCACGGATCACTGTTCTTGGCCAACCGGAGCTGTGGGAAGTGGTGCAGACTGGGACACCACATCCTGAAGCTCCCAGTGTCTGGGAATGATGATCCGCTGCCAACAGGAGCGGCAAGCAGCCATACCTGAGTACATGCAGATAAATTAAAGCATTTGACAGCCCACCAGACTATATGGTTTCTATAAGCATCATATCATATATCACTGGTTTTGGTTCTCAGCTCCTCTTCCAGTTGCTTTGTCGTTCTCTGGCATCACAAACCAAAAGGAATGGTGCCTTAAAAGGCAACTAGGAATTCCCATGGTGAAGAAAAAGCGAGTGTCATATAATGCCTGCAGTGCTATAGACTATCCTTGCTGGAATAATGATTCTTAGAGGTCAGTATAAACTAGTGTAAATTAGAGTAGCTCCATGACTGCTCTGACTATATTCTGTGCTGGCTTCAGCCTTCAACCAGCCCCGTGTTGCCTCAGAGCTGTTTTTGCCTGGCTCCCTCAGGAGTGTAACATGAGCTTGTTGCAACTGAGCATTCAGCCTTTAGTCTTATAAGATGTAAAGATACAGATCTGTGGACCAATGATGAAAAGAAAAATTTTGATGCCTTCTGTGTGATTTCAGTTTTTCAGACAAGTAATAGTTCTATTTTTCAGTGTTTTCTCCTTATGGTGATTTAAATTAAATGTGTATAATTCCTGAAAAATCATGTTTTTGTTTTTTTTTGGGTCACAAAATAGTTTGGTCACAAAGTGACAGGAGACGCAGAACAGCAGTGATTTAACCCAGTTTATAGCTTGCCAAGCAAAATTTAGACCATGAATGTGGACATTTCACACATTTCTATGGGAAATGGTTCCAAGGTTTTTCACCACATGACATACATTCTATACCAGTGGAAATGCATTCAATGTGCTGCATAACATGTAAGGAAAGGAGAACATGTGACCAAAAGCACTGAGGAGAATGCTGATCCATACACTGAAGGTATGTCTACACTTGCAGCCTCATTCGAAATAGGGCTGCAAATGTAGGCATTCGAAATTGCAAATCAAGCCCGGGATTTAAATATCCTGCGCTTGATTTGCATCTTCCCGGCCAGGTGCCATTTTTGAAATTGACAAGCCCGGAATAACTGCCTGCGTCTACACACGGCAGTGAAATGGGTGTTCAAAATAAAGCCCTAGTTCGAAATACCTGTTATACTTCCTGCAATGAGGTTTAACAGGTAGTTTGAACTATGGCTTTATTTCGAATGCCCGTTTCACTGCCGCATGTAGTTATTCCGGGCTTGTCAATTTAAAAAAAAAAAAAAAAAAAGGCCCCCCGGCGCCCGACCGGGAAGATGCAAATCAAGCACGGGATATTTAAATCCTGGCCTTGATTTGCAATTTCGAATGCCTATATTTGCAGCCCTATTTCGAATTAGGCTGCAAGTGTAGACATACCCTCAGTGTATGGATCAGCATTCTCCTGAGAGTCATGAGGTATGTAGGACTCAATTCTTCTTGATTTCCTCAGCCACTGGGGCTATTTGCTAAATTGAAGTAGCACGTCCACATTAGGGCAGTCTGCCTTGGACTAATTTTGATGCTTCTCTGTAGTACAGATGTGCTATTTCGATTTTTTTTTCCAAAATAGCTTATTTCGAAATAAGCGTGTTGTGTAGATATACCCTCAGATTGATCATTACATGGCTCAGTTTGAGATAAAGAAATTAACTAATGTTCAACATTAAACAATGAGGTTTAACTCTGCACAAGATGAATATTGCACCAGAGAGATGGGTTACTTCACTTAGGCCTCTCATGAGTTATCCTTTTCCCCTTTGCTTCTAGAGATAAATAGGATACTGGTGATCAGGCACAGTAAGTTAGATGTGCTGATCAGCTCATTTTATTGACCTCCTTAGATGTGATCGAGTTGTTAACTTCCCATTTCCTTGCTTCTGCTGCTGGGAAACCATATTTCTTGTCCTCTAATTATTCATAAAGTCTTCCTTCAGCTGATACAAATGGATAACTATCTGGTATTGTTTAATTGCAGGGGTCAGCAGTCTGCAGCATGCAGCCCATCAAAGTCTATGGCAGGCCGGGAGACTTTTTTAAAATATTTTTTTATATTGGCCATTTGCAGGCACACACACCCCAGCTCCCAGTGGCTGCAGTTCACAGGAGCTGTGGGAAGCAGCATGGGGGTGAACTGCGGCCACTGTGACCTGCGAAGAGATGTGTCTGTAGACGGTAAATGTACACAAAGTGTCTTGTAGCCTGCCAGTGGATTACCCTGATGAGCCATGTGCTGAAGGTTGCTGACCCCTAGATTCCCTTCCTCTCCACTCAAGAATTAGCAAACCTTTGTGATGTAGAACTCAACATAAAACTCAATTCTAAGGCCCAATATATGGCACAAATCCAACACCACCATGTATTGCAGTTTGACTAACCAACAGCCTGGATGTAAAAATATCCACCTACCTACTAGGATGAAATGTGCCTTCCATGCTTTTTACCACACATTTTTAATAACACCAGTGATAGCTTGATTTTCACTTTGGCCCAGATTCCGCTGTCCAAATGAGGACAGGAAAGGCCATGCAGACAGTGAAACCTGTTCAGTTTCAGTTCACCAGGGGCCTGCATCTTCTTCAGACCACACCAGGAAGGGTCCTGAACCCTAGTTTAGTTGCATGCAGGTATGCGCTTCTGCTGGTCAAAATTCCCTGACTAAAGCATTGTGGAGCAGCTGTGAGTGCTACGCATCTCTGAAGCTATAGTAGTGGATGCAAAATGGCAACTGAAAATATCGGGGCAAGATTCATTTGTCCTGATCCCAACAGACCTCTTCAGCACATCGTTCATCTACTCAGCCTGAGTCCTGATGAGAGGGCTTGAAAATGTCGGCTTCACAAACCAGAAAAGTTCAGCTCACAATAGTTGAAGTGACACATGAAAGATGAGGAAACCCTTGATAATGATTCTTGGCAGCCTCACGAGATGAGTTCCCTGCACCACAGAGATGAGAACTTGTGATAAGTAAGGGCATTCCCACCGCTGTGAACTTTCTTGTGGTGAACTGGCAGTTAGCACAGGTGGGCGTGAGGTGCCACATCTGTCTTGGGGGTTCTCTTGAAGGGAATGTATCCTTTTTACCGATTGGTTGGTTGCTTTGGCCAGTCCCTGGCATCTGAAATTCTGCCAGGTGTTAAATGTCTGCCTGTCCTTTCTGAAAACAAAAAGGTGTTTTTCTCTTAAAGGGCTTTAACTAAACTCCTTAAATGATTAGGAGTTTGGAAAAGCTGCTTGAAGAGACATCTTGTTCTCTGTTGGCAGGATGATTGTATAGCCATGTCACACGTTTGTAATACTGTCAGGTATAAGGAAGCAAATTGGAGATATTTTGTCTTTACTACTTGTTATGAAATGTTTTCAAGAAGAAAAGCCATGGTTAAGACCATTCTCAGAGTCAAGCTAATTTATCTGAGATCACATGGACCCACACCTTAATGGAAATCAGTAGTACTAAATTGTGAGCATACAAAAGAGCTGTCTTATTTACATAATTTCTGAAAAAAATAATAGCAATGAAAATTCCCCAGAGTAGTTAATTGTGACTTTATATACCGTATTTTCCGGCGTATAGGGCGACTGGGCGTATAAGACGACCCCCTATCTTTTTAATTAAAAGATAGGGTTTCATCTTATACCCCAGCGCCCCTCCGCCTCCTTTGCTCCCGGTGTCCCTGGTCTGCTGGAGATGGTCCCCAGCAGACCAGAGGCACCGGGAGCAAAGCCGCAGCAGCTTTGAAAGCCTCGGGGAAAGCCGGTGGCTGGGCATCCCAGGCGCGCCTGGGATGCCCCACCGCCGGAGCCCCTCCGCAGCTTTGAAAGCCTCGGGGAAAGCCGGTGGCTGGGCATCCCAGGCGCGCCTGGGATGCCCCACCGCCGGAGCCCCTCCGCAGCTTTGAAAGCCTCGGGGAAAGCCGGTGGCTGGGCATCCCAGGCGCGCCTGGGATGCCCCACCGCCGGAGCCCCTCCGCAGCTTTGAAAGCCTCGGGGAAAGCCGGTGGCTGGGCATCCCAGGCGCGCCTGGGATGTATACCCGGCGTACAAGACGACCCCTGATTTTTGGGGGATGTTTTTTAACATCAGAGGTTGTCTTGTACGCCGGAATATACGGTAGGATATTGTATATCTTCTTCAGAACAATTATTCACATAATCATGTTCCAAAATAGCAAGTAAGTATGGACATAAACCAAATTGTTGGGTCTGATTTCGATCTGAGCTTCAGGGGCTGTCCCCACTCATTCTATTAAGGGACAAGTCAGACTCCCACATCTGAACACCACAAACTTGGGGTAAGTTGACACTTGGACCAGTATGCAGTGTTTCTCAGTTCTGTTTCTAGGGGTATATCTATACTTTCACCCTCTTTCAAGAGAGGGATGCAAATGAAGGTAGTTTGCAATTGCAAATGAACCCCAGGATTTAAATATCCCATGCTTCATTTGCATATTTGAATTATGGCGCTATTTTGAAATAACAGTTGCTGTTAAGACGCGGTTATTTCGAGAGAAAACCCTTCTCTCGAAATAACCCTTATTTCTCATACAATGAAGTTTACCAGTTATTTCAAGAGAAGGGGTTTCTCTCTAAATAACCACTTCTTAACAGCGTCTGTTATTTCGAAATAGCGCTATTTCGAAATAGCGCCATAATGCGAATATGCAAATGAAGCGCGAAATATTTAAATCCCGGCTTCATTTGCAATTTCGAATGACTTCATTTGCATCCCTCTCTCAAAAGAGGGTACAAGTGTAGAAATACCCTAAGAGTCCATCTGTACTAGAAAAATAATGGAGTAAAAGGATCTGCCTGCATGGAAAATTCCCATGGAATGTAATAATAATGAAACCAATTGGGATCTATAGAAAATATTGTAAAAACATTAAAATTAAGTAGAAAATTATGTTTTCTATAGATTGACTCATCCTATAAAAATTCTATAGCAGAGACACAATTCTATAGCTAATTTTATAGAATGGTTCAAAAACCCATGGGAAGTTTATTAATATCTATTACATTCTGTAGATGGTAGGGGATTACAACACACCTGTCCTTTAACCTCATTACAATAAGGTTAAAGTTTGTAGGTAGAACTTGATTATGTTTCATAACCATGCTACAGCCTTTAGCTAAAATCCAAGGCTTTTCCTTGGTTGCATGCAATGGTTACAACAGAGTTAGAACCCAATAGCACAACAGTTTTCAACAATGTTGTAACTGGGTGTTCAGACATGGTTGCTTTTGTTGTGCAGATAGGTCCTGGCAGTAAATACACTTCAAGATTCATAGGTGTTGTAGAACACATCTGCTCTCCTGTTCCTATGAATAAAACCTTAGAAAATTTAATATGCATAACTTTCAGAAAGATGCAAGTGTCATCCATCATATTGCTTCTATTTTTCTGAATAACTCAGCTAGAGGACAAATTCCACCCATTACTTAGAAGTGTTGACTCTGCCATTTAGATTCGCTGCAAATTGCACATTCACTCTTTAAAAGATGGAAGCTGAGATGCACTTTTTTTGTGTGCATCAGATTTACAACCACCTTCCCTAAACATGACAAGACAATACATTTATCTAAATGAGCTACTTTCCTGCTTGGATATATTTTTACAGTAAAAGAAGATGGAAGGCTAGTAGTATCTGTCCCAGGCTGTGTTAGTATTTTTATGCTTATGCTTTTATTGATGCTGTGTTAGTGTTTTTATGCATAAGCTTAATATTTACAAAGCTTTCAAAAACAAAGGATTAGAAAAGTCCAAATTAAGGTCAGACTGCTTCTTGAGTGAAAACTGAATGCAGGATTAAGCATCTGACTTAAACAGAGGACAGACTTACTTCCCAACCCACCAAAGGTTCTGTTAACTCAGGGGTGGGAAATAATTTCTTCCTGGGGGCCACTTCCAAAATTTTTG